CTGAGGGCCAGGGTTTGGGGGTGGGATGGCAGGGGTAGGGGAGCGGTTGGGCTGGGGGAGCTGAAAGGGCTTTGCCAACCTCAATGATTCTATGATCAACAAGAGGAGAGCGAGCAGGTCTCATTTGCTAGGTCACAACTGTGTCCTGATGCTCTAATTGCCCATTAAATTTCTATTATGAGTGATGGCCCCAGTGCCCCCAGTCACCCTGTCCCTTCAGGGCAAACTTGCATCCAAGTGCTGAAGCCCTGAGCCAAGGGCACTACACCCTGGGCCCTGCCTTAGTGTTGCTACACATCGGTCATGGAGAAACCAACCAGGCTTGTGACTGGAGGCATCAGAAATGAAATGTCCTCCTTGAATCTGTCCCCAGGGATAGACTTTCTTGGTAGAGTCATACTGGTTCATCAGCCTCTGAAAAACTGAAATATGGGGCATCCCTGATATCTGAGGGATCTGGCTTTGTTCTGGGGCAGGAATCTTTGCAACCCCAAGGCAGCCGTGTGATGTAAAGGGGGAAGCACCTCATACCTGCTCAAATCATCACCGGCGTCCTAGAGGGGAGAAAGAAAGAAGCAGCTCAGTGCTACTTATCTGGGACACACATTCCTCACATTCCCCTTCCACAGCGAATGGACACACCAGCAAGGTAAAGCTAATAAATACAATAATCAAGGTAAGATTAGCCCGGTGCGGGTCACTGATCTGCTGGTGCCTCACATGCTGTTTGCTAGGCCAGCGCTGGTGTTTCAGCAGCCCTCACCTGGAGGGAATCCTGTCTTGACAGCCGACACTCCGTCTCCTTGATCAGGCCATCCAGGTAAGTAATCTTCTTGGAGAATTTAGCAGCATTTTCTTTCAGTCTTGTTTTAATCTGCTTCTCCAGCTCCCCCAGCCGAGCCAGCAGCAGGCACTCCTGCTCCTCCAGGTACAGTCGCAGCTGCTTAAATTCGGGTGCAATCTTCTGCCTCTCTGCCGTCACCTTTTCCTTTACAAGCAGAAACAGATCTCTCAAGGGAGGCTGGGACCATGGAAAGGGACAGGCAGCAATTAAAAGCATCCACGGCTTTTGCTTTCTGGTGTGGAGCGTGACTGCGATTCCTGGGGTGCTTATGGTACTGGACACAACAATTCAATCGCCCAGCTCCAAAGGCCAAGAATCAACCTCTCTTCACCCTCCCTGAACAAACTTCCCAGTAGCACTGTGCACCTACCAGATAGTCCTGGCAGATCCATCGCTCCTCCCTCTCCTGTCTCTCCAGTTCCCCTTTCTCTCTTCGGAGGCTCTCCAGCTGCGACTGTATTTGCTCCTGGAAGAAGAGACGTCCTTTAGGAGCCCCCACCACCCACACGTACGCTTTGTGTCCAGTCTGTTCCCTGGGTCGGACAGGAGCAGCCTCCGGCACAGCATCAGCCTCTGGACTCGTGGCTCCGGGATATTCGCGGGTGTCAGCGTGGCTGTGAAAAGCGATGGGGGAACATGCAAGGGAAGAGAACTGGGGAGGAACTGAGGAGGAATAGGCAGAAAGGGGTGTGACAGGGACTGGCCCTAGGTAAAACGGAGCTGGTCTGTGCACTTGTCTGACCCAGCCCTGTGATGGCCGCAGTCTGTCCTACCTTCCCCTTAAAGCCCTTCACTGTCTTTTTGCATCATCTCTCTGTGGGCATGAGGACACGGTGCCAGTTACTGGGGGACTGGCACGAGTGGATTTGCTGGCAGATGGGGGTCAGATGGGGGTGCAGGCACCCCAGGGCTGGGGTCGCAGCTCCTGGAGTCAGTGGGGTCTCAGCGCAGCTGCTGGAGTAGGTGGGGGTCCTGAATGCCGGGAACTGAGCCTGGGAGGGTGCACGTCCCCCAGACCAGCTACTGGGGGGGACCGGTGCGAGTGAGGAGCTCAGCACCAGGAGCTGGAGCGGAACCACAACTCAGCTGCCTGGATAGAATCCCTATGGAGTCAGATGCCAAAAATCAAAACAATATTAAAGACTGATAACAGTCAGCATCACCATGCTGGTCTGGCAGGCAGCAGCACGCAGGGGACACTGGAGGGGCCACCAGGGCAGGAATTATAACGTTCGATATATAAACCGCGCAGCACAGTGCTGAGCGCAGAGTGCCAGTACCCTTTATGAAACCTTGATAAATGTTACACCAAGCTGCAAAACGTGGAAAAGGGAAACTGCAGCAACAGGAAGACATGGGTTAAAAAACAAACAAACAAACAAACAAAACCCAACCAACCAAAAAGGCTCGGAGGGTGCAGTTATGGCGCTGACTCCTTGTAGGGAGCGCGTGGCTTCTGCAAACTGCACACTGGGGAGCTTGCACAGACAGGCATCGCGTTAGCAAAGACCTCCTTAGAAACCCAGAATCACAGAATCATTGAGGTTGGCAAAGCCCTTTCAGCTCCCCCAGCCCAACCGCTCCCCTACCCCTGCCATCCCACCCCCAAACCCTGGCCCTCAGCACCGCCT